ATTGTGGGAAAATTCTACTACCAGTCCTTCATCACCTTACACGAAATAGGGTGAATACATCTCATTTCATTACTTTATGCAACCTAGTTTGTCTGAAACTTTTAATAAGCTCAACTGCCAAATCGAGTCCTTGATGGTTGACTTATCGGATACTCTCGTCCCCTATAGCTACCGTTATTGAAAGTCCTGATTCCGCCATTTACTCACCTTTAAAAAATCTACCATACCAGAAAGCAAAGGTGCCAGCACTAGAGGCAGACCCCAAAGTCCTTTCATACAAGTGATCCGGCTGTCAACACGGGATCAAAGTACGCCCAAGTGGGTCTCGTCAGACACGTTCTAGCGGATAGCAACACTTCTGAAACATATAACAACACCGTCTTTTGGTACATTGCGAATACCAACAGCCGGCTATCACAATCGCTACAGTAAAGCGATACAGCTCGTGATAGCCGATATTTCACACGTTTGTCGCTCCCATCTTTACCCGCCCACCAGCATGGCCGAACTTTTGCACAAGTCATATCTGAGCCTCGAGGCAACCGCTCCAACTTTGACATGTCTTTCTGTTAAATGTATATAAGCTGGTGGTAGGGTTTGAATTGTGTGTATGCTTCTTAAAAGTTGGGACACTCGGACTTGCGTAGTAGGCATCAACTGCAACGCCTGGCTCGTCGAGGTCGCAAAACACACTGGAAGTATGCATCGAAAAACCTACCCGGTCTGGGTCCAGAACCAGCAGTTGTGGTCACGACGTTCTTGCACAAGCGTCGCTGTGCGCCCAGCCGGATTGGCCGGCAAGTCGGCATCATGTCTTCTGGAATTGGTCAATCCTCTCACGCCCCAAGAAGTGACATGTCGACGGCAGAGTGAAGCTGAATTGCAAGCATTTTTTTCACTTTTCCATATGTACATGCATACTTTTAATTATATAGACTTATTTTGCATTTCTTCCCTTTTGCATAGTGCATATTTCACACTAAATGCCGTGAGCTCACGAGCCACATTATAATGACCGTTTCCTGGTATCTTTAATCTCCGATACAATCGCGAACAACATGCGGCAGACGAAGCTTGTTTATGTTGCTCAATGAAATGCTGTGGTCACAGTTGGGTTAATGTTGAATTTAGTCATGTTTTTTAAGAATAACTTGATTAACTTCCCTCCTTCTGACTCCTCTGCCATTGTTGCTCATGACTGCGCACCATTTCGCGACCTCGACGCGTCTGTGCTGAACTATACTCCATCATGTGACAGGCATTATCCGAGCAAGAAACCATGCTTTTCGAAGATTCACTAAGAATGATGAAGTATTATTGTAAAGCAAGGTTCCCTGATCTGATGATGTCTGTCTCGAGGCCGACGAAAGCTGAGAGGTTTGCCAAAAGAAATGCCTACATTGTATTAGAGTGTAGAAGAGGAACAAAGGCCGGTCCCCGCAAGTCCTTGAAGGGGTCTATGATTCGTAGAGTCTTGTCAATCAAAGCTGGCTTCAGGTGGGTTCGGGAGGTTTGGGTTTGATAGGTCCAAAGGTAGGCCTGATACAGTGGCAAGATTTGATTGGTCAGTTTTCAAGAGGCCTTATTTACAAGCGGTCTTTGGGTAGGGAGATAGCTGAACACGTGATGTTACGAATCTACCACTTGGGGCTGAAAAGAGTAGTATATGCAGAGAAAAGGTGGGTTTGGAGGAATCTCTTGTTTCATAATTGTTGTGCTTACTTCCATTTCGAGTAGAAGTGTTGGGTGAAGAGATTCGAAGGTCGGTTCCACCAGAAGA